ACCAACACATGACTAACCAACATTTACTAATGCCTCATTTGGCTCAATTTAGAAATTATAAGTGACTTAATTCCCTATCTAAAAAAAAAAAAGTGAGTAAATTTTTTTTTTTTTAGTGAATTTATTTTATAATTTTTAAAAAAGTTTTAGATTTCTAGATTCAACTCAACAAGACGAACTAAAAAATTATAATTTTAAAATATATATATATATATATCCAGAAAAGACAAAAATAAGCCAAAATAAGTAAATTTTTTTGCTTATTTTTGTCTTTAGTGATTTTTTCTGAAATTTTTCAAAAAAATATATATATATATATACTTTTTAGGTTTGTCTAGACAAGACGAAACAAAATTTAAAAAAAAAATCACCAAAAACAAAAAAATTAGAAAAAAGAGGTAACTTTTTTTTGTTGCCAAAATGGGCCAAATTGAATTTATTGAGTAATTAATTTCAATCATTAATTATTCAATAAAATTTTATTCAAATTTTCATAAAAACAATAATCAAATTGTTTTTGAAAATTGTGGGGGACATATTTCGTGAATGGCAGCATGTGGCCAAGGTGACGCCGACGTGTCAGTTAGGGTGCCACGTGGCTTGGTCATGCGCCGAGATTATCTCGGCTAGGCCGAGGTTATTTGCGGAGATATCAGAATCCGAGATGAGTGGATAAGGGACAGGAGTCCCAAAATACGGAATGACTTTAGTCTGGATAACGATAAGGCTCTTTGGGAGTTTATCTCTATCTAGCTGAGGGTCCAAGATGAGCATTGAGCCAAAGTCTATTGAAGCTAGGCTTCTACAGGAATCAGGTCAGTATTGGCTATAAAAGCAAGGCATTTTCGTAGGTCTAAGGTATGCTTTTTAGGCTCTGTCCAGTATGTTAAGCACTGTTGGCTATCTTTGAGAGATAATTACTGACTTGATCGTCGGAGTACCCCCGGGTGGACGAACCATCGTCGGATTCTTATCTTTCTGTAATAGGTTGTTCGGGCTTAATCTATTCTGCTGGTGCTCTCCTACCGAGTGTTCCTGTTTGGTTGTGTGGTCAAAAATCAACACCCACAATTTGGTGCCACTTGTAGGAAAGTAAGGAGAATAAATGGCCAACGACGGGCAGAAAGAAAAGGTCGGGGAAAACATTCCTGGTGGGCGTGGCAAACACACCAATCCTAATGTAGAGGAGTAGAACTGTAATGAAGGACCTCGGGATCAAAATCCTGGGAAAAAAGGCGTCGGCCAAGAGAGAGATGCACCGAAGAAAGCATGTCAAGGTGGGTATTATAACAAAAGTGATCTCCATGTATGGAAAGATAGATTCCTAATGAGGGACGGTGAGATGAAGGGAATGACAAACAAATTGGCAGACCTACAATCGGTTGTCAACTTCATGATGCAGAACAACGTCATGCAGCCACCACTTCCGTTAAAGAACACGTCGATTCCAACGGCCAAGAACGATGCCCAGAAAGGGGGGCAGAAAGCTGTCCCAGTAGTCCCTCAGCATGATAGGGTGAATGAACGCTCACTCCGGTCTTCACGGGACGTCGGACGAGCAAAATCAATGAAAGGAGAGTCTTAGAGGACACCTCGTACGAACGGAACGTATGTCAAGGAACGTCGGCATGTTCAAGGGAAGGAACTTTGTTTTGACACGGTGAATGAAGAGAAGTCCAAGAAGACTCATAACGATGCTGGGAGTAGCGCACCAAAAAGACTGAAATCCGTTGACAGCTAAGCTCCGGGTCGGACTAAGGAGGAGGGACTACCTCTAGAGAAAGAGGCAGAAGGCCAAGGTCACATCCCCGATCAAGCCGAAGACGCTGTTCTTAGTAGAACTGGATAGGTTTGAGGCCCTAAAAAGGTTCCATATGTCGAGGTTCCAGATATATGACGGTAAGTCTGATCTGAACTTTCACGTCGGCTTATACTTTAATTCAATGGCACTATACACCAGGAACAAACCACTGCTATGCAAGGTGTTCCCCTCATCTTTTGGGGAAATTGCGTCGGATTGGTTTCACAAGTTGCTGAAAGGAACTGTGAAGAGTTGGGATGGCCTGGCCGAGATGTTTGTGGCTAGGTTTGTTACAAACAAATTGTAGCCATTAAGGGTAGACTTCCTGATGGCTTTGAAAATTGGCGAGGATGAAAGCCTCATGGATATGCTAAAAGGTATTATGAGGTGTTTAACCGAATACCAGGGTGCAACCAAGAGTTAGTGGTCGTATCTTTTAAGAATGCCCTGAACGATGCTTTAAAATTCATTGGCAAAGACTCTGCCGAAGAGTATGGAGGAGCTCATTGCCAGGATCGAGAAATATGCGAGAGCCGAAGAGGATACGCCAGAAACGAAGGCGTCAAAGCAAGAGAAAAGGAACGGCTCGCTGAAGCGAGGCCGAGGTAATACAAATTTTAATAGACAAGAAACAGGACTGAGTGCTGCACAGGCAGTCAACACCGTGTTCCGGATCCTGGTTTATAAAGTCTTGGAAAGGATCAGGAACCAGCCGTATTATAGAGCGTCGGAGAGGATCCCTAGTGAATTTATGAGGAGAAGTCTAGGAAAGCACTGTGCTTATCACAATGAAGATGGACACCTGACGCAAGGTTGTAGAGCCCTAAAAGAACATTTGGAAGATCTGGTTAGACAAGGTCACTTAAGGGACCTAGTAGATGAGACCAGAATGAGGAAAGAACAGGCAAGGCTGCCCCAGGCACCGGCAGCACCACCTCTACCAGCACCACAATTGCAAGAAGATGAACCACGAGTGATCAATGTGATTCACTCAAGGGTCAATGAGAACTCGGTACGTGGGGAGACTCAAAGGGTGAAACACTTACAGCATGTGTATCAGGTCCAGCAGAAGAGGCATAGGACAAATAAGTGCCAGGAACCAATGGTGTCTTTTACTGAAGCAGACCTGGACATGGTGTGGCATCCACACAACGATGCTCTAGTAGTGACCCTCAAGATTGGAGAATGTCAAATAAAGCGCATTTTGATCGACCAAGGCAGCTCATGTGATATCATGTATATCAGATGTTACAAGGAGCTCGGCCTACACCGAGATGATCTAGAACAGTCCAATAACCGAATGGTCTACTTCAATGGAACGCCGACCTGGCCGTTGGGAGCAATAAATTTGGAGGTGCAGGCAGGCACCAAGAAGGCAAGCACAGAGTTCATAGTAATTGACACCCACTCCCTTTACAATGTTATCTTGGGAAGGCCATGGTTGCACGCAATGAGGGTTATTCTCTCAACACTACACCAACTGTTGCAGTTCCCAACAATGCATGGAATTGAGGAGGTCAGAGAGCATCAAGTGTAGGCAAAGAATTACTCCATGGTAGCAATGAAATCCACTTGCAACGTGCGAGAAGCAGAAACAGTAGAAATTGAAGACGAGGACATGGAGGTCCTGGATGATGTCGGCAAAGAGTCGGCCGACAAAAGTGAGGAAGCCTTAAAGAAAATTCTGGTCCAATAAGGTGATGAAGAGCGCTTCTTCCTTCTCGTCTCAGGACTAGACGAGGAGGAGGAAAGGGAGTTAGAGTCATTCTTGCGAGTAAACATAGAGGTGTTTACCTGGACGCCATACGAGCTACCTAGCATTGATCCCAAGGTCACTTGCCATAGACTAAATGTAGACAGGTCAGCTAAATCCATCATTCAACAAGCAAGGAGGCCGACGTTGGTTCATATGGAAGTAGTAGAAGAGGAAGTGGACAAATTGTTCGAGGCCAGAGCCATTCGAGAGGTAAACTACCCAACTTGGTTGTCAAACACAATTGTTATGAAAAAAAAGAATGGGAAGTGGAGGGTCTGCGTGGACTTCACCAATCTAAATAAGGCTTGTCCCAAAGACAGTTTCTCACTCCCCAAGATCGATTAATTAGTGGATGCCACTTAAGGGCATGGAATGATGAGCTTCTTGGACGCTTATAGGGGGTACCATCAGATAACAATGTACCCCCTGATGAGGAGAAGACTGCATTTATCACCCCAAAAGGGCTGATTGCTATAGAATGATGCCTTTCGGGTTAAAAAATACAGGAGCAACCTACCAGAGGTTGGTGACCAAGATGTTCAGACATCTGATTGGCAAAACAGTGGAAGTATACATTGACGACGTGGTTGTGAAGACCAAAGAACCTGAGGATCACCTGGCCGACTTGAAAGCAGTTTTCGATATTCTTAGAACATATCGACTCCGACTCAATGCTTCGAAGTGCGCATTTGGAGTTGGGTCTGGTAAGTTTCTGGGTTACTTGGTTACTAGAAGGGGCATTGAGGCAAGCCCAGATCAAATCAAGGTCGTCCTTGACTTGAAGAGCCCAACATCGGCAAAACAAGTACAGATACTTATAGAAAGGGCCGCAACCATGAATATGTTTATAAGCAGAAGTTTAGATAAGTGTAGACCATTCTTCAATTTATTGGAAAAGGACATAGATTTTTTGTGGACAAAGGAGTGTGAAGTCGCCTTGGTCGACTTGAAAAAATACCTGACCACAGCTCCAGTTCTTTCAAATCCAGTACTCGGAGAGGAACTGTTCTTATACTTAGCGGTTTCAGAGCATGCAGTAAGTGCAGTGGTAATCAGAGAAGAGAATGGAGAACAAAGGGCAGTATACTATGTGAGTAAAACCCTAACAGGCGCAGAAACCAAGTACTTGCCCCTAGAGAAATTGACACTGACCTTAGTGATGACTTCCAGAAAGTTGAATCATTACTTCCAAGCCCACAAGATTGTGGTATTGACTGAGCATCCCTTGAAGTCCCTGTTATAGCAAGGAGATCTGATAGCAGGGTAGCCAGATGGGCAGTAGTGTTGGGCCAATACAACTTAGAGTTTAGACCCAGAACAACAATCAAAGGCCAAGTTCTGGCCGACTTTGTGGCTGAGTTCACACCTGGTGCCATACCACGTTAGGCTCTGGTAAGCCGTGGCTTAAGGTGTCCAGGGAAATAAGAGGAGACCCAATTGGGAATGAAAAATCCCACAACAGAGCAGAAGAAAGAAGAAAAATCGAAGCCCTGCGATATCTACATCGGCGACTCTTTTCTCCTATTTGTTGATGAGAGTTCAAACCGTCAAGGAGCGGGAGCAAGAGTGGTGTTAGTATCACCAGATGGGCGAATGTTAGAACAGTCTATCCATTTGGGGTTCAAAGCCTCAAACAATGAAGCAGAATATGAGGCACTAATCGCAGGGTCGAAGTTAGCAGCAGCAATGGAAGCCGACGAAGTGGTAGTCTTCTGTGACTTCCAACTTATTGTGAACCAGGCAACATATGAGTATGCAGCCCGAGATGAAAGAATGATAGCCTATGTCAAAGAAATTGTTAGACGGCTAGCCTTATTTCAGGATTGTCGATTACAGCAGGTTAACTGAGATGACAACAACCATGCCGATGCCTTGGCTAACCTGGCTAGTGCAATGAAATCAGTGGAGGCAAGGACAATAATGGTTGATTATTTGTCAGGACGAAGTGTAGAATCACTAATCACAGAGTATGAAGCAATGTGTGTGGAGATGACAACAACCATGCCGATGCCTTGGCTAACCTGGCTGGTGCAATGAAATCAATGGAGGCAAGGACAATAATGGTTGATTATTTGTCAGGACCAAGTGCAGAACCACAAATCGCAGAGTATGAAGCAATGTGTGTGGAGATGGGTCCAAGTTGGATGGATGCAATAGTGATGTTTCTTAGGGACGAAAAACTGCCATATGATCGCAAAGAGGCGTATAAGACCAGACTGAAGTCGACAAGGTTTAGCCTAACAGCAGAAGGACATCTCTACAGAATGTCTTTTACTGGTCCCCTTTTGAGGTGTGTGCATCCCTCCCAAGTTGAAGACTTCTTGTATGAAATACATGAAGGGGTATGTGGCAGCTACACTGGGGCCAGATCGCTTGCTCATAGGGCCATTACTCAAGGGTACTGGTGGTCCTACATGCAGAAGGATGCTGAAGCCTACGTCAGAAAGTGCGAGAAGTATCAGAGGTTTGCACCCTTGATACATTAACCAGCAGCAGATTTGAACCCAGTATCCAGCCCTTGGCCATTTGCCCAGTGGGGCATGGATCCTTATTGGACAACTGCTCTAAGCAACTGGGTAAAGGAAGTTTCTGCTGGTAGTAACTGATTACTTCACAAAGTGGGTAGAAGCTGAGTCCCTTGCAAAGATTCGAGATATTGATGTGAAGAACTTCATATGGAAGAACATCATCACCAGGTTTGGGATTCCAAAGGAAATAATAGCAGAGAATGGCACTCAGTTTGACAGTAAGTTAATCAAAAACTTCTGTGCAAAGTACAAAATCAAGAATTACTACTCTACTCAAAGTTTTCCTTAGAGTAATGGTCAAGCAGAAGCATCTAATAAAACTATCTTGGATGGGACCAAAAAGAGGTTGGGAGCAGCAAAGGAAAAATGGATGGAAGAGTTGCCTAATGTACTCTGGGCATATCGGACTACGCCAAGAAGATCAACTGGGGAATCTCCATTTGCCATGGCTTATGATACTGAAGTAGTTATCCCACTGGAAATCGGCATCCCAAGGATCAGAACCTAGGGAGTGAAAAATGGTACTAATGAGGCATTTCTAGCCCGAGATCTAGACCTACTGGAGGAAAAGAGAGAGAGAGCAGCAATTCGGCTAGGGGTATACCAACAACAACTTGTTAGGGCTTACAACAAGAAGGTCAACCCAAGAGAGTTCAAAGTTGGGAACCTTGTGCTAAGGAGAGTAGTCAGCAACAAGAAGGATCCTAGGGAGGGCAAGCTTGGCCCAAATTGGGAGGGGCCTTATAGAATCATCTCGGTCGCCGGCAATGGGGCATATCGGCTTGAAAACAATGATAGCAAAGTTACCAAGACCCTAGAACACTTGCAACCTAAAGTTTTTCTATCATTAGATTTTTGGTTTTCGGAGTTTATGTCATTAGCCGAAGTAATAATAAAATTTTAATTTGATTTTTATTTGAAATTTGTGTGATAGGACTGACCAGTCCTATGACGATGTTTCTGAATGAAACATGACGAATAACTTAGACTTATTATATGGCAGAGTTGAGTTATACTTGCATATAATAGAGTTGAACTAAGTGAGTGATGTTTCTAAATGAAACATGACGAATAATTTAGACTTATTATATAGCAGAGTTGAATTATACTTGCATATAATAGAGTTGAACTAAGTTGGCAATGTTTCTGAATGAAACATGACGAACAAACTTATCATATGACAGAGTCGAATTGTACTTGCATATGATAGAGTTGGAATAAGATTTGCCATGTCGCCAGAGTTAAACTCAGAATGGAACTAAGTGTTCTTTAATCGAATTAATAGAGAAACTCAGGTTGAATACCTCGGTTAGTCTTTGTTCGAATCTGACTTCGGGCGAAAGGCTATAAGCGCTTAATGTAAACTTAAGTGAAACTTAGGTTCATATTAGGGGGTAGAGAGCTGGAGAATGATGAATAAATTTAAAAGTTTAAAGTACTTGGGACTTGTTAAAATTTTTGGAAAAATTTACAAGTTAAAATGGGCTTAACACTTGTTGAAATTTCAGAAAAATTCACAAGTTGAAGTTAGCCAAGGTAATATTGAAAGAGGTATCCGAGATACATACTGGCCGAGATGACCAACCAGGTTGCCAAACTTGGAAAGGATAGGAGGAAGAAGTCTTGATAGAAGACAGTAAGTGAAAGTGAATGAGCAAGTTTAAAGAAACAACACTTGTAAATTCACAATATTTTTTAGTGTTAGCCAAGGCCGAGATAAACAAATTAGAAGATATATCCGAGGTACTTTCCCTCGAGGTGATTGCACAATTAAGGTGTACTTTGAAGAAATACACAAATATTCTAAGTATGGAAAATGTGCAAATGGAAAGTAGTAAATCATATATGAAATAAATATTCAACACTTAGAAGACAAAAGAAGACTTGCATTAAAAAAAAAAAAAACAACAACAAAAACAACAACAACAACAACTTGTTTGAGGTACAAATAAAGGCACATCTGCCAAATTGCAACTCAAAATTGTTCAAGAAGAATGAAGGTACAACTTAAGGAAGAAAGAGTACAAAGTAAGGAAACAATATCCTAAGCACTAGGATTGGTCTGAGATTGCTCAACCTCGACTGTTGGAGTTGTATCAGCCTCGGTTGGCCGAATTGCATTCTTCTCTGCCACTATCCCGGTATCTATTTCAAGCAAAGTCTGATCCAAACTCTTTTCAGCACATTATACCTCGGCCTCAAAAGTGATTGGTTTGGGAGAGGCGCCCTTGGAAGCCAAGTCATCCTCCTCATCTTGAGTCAAGTCTAGGATTTGCTCGTTTAGGGTGGGGGACTTGGCATCAGTGGTAGCCTCCTCATCCTCTTCATCAGCACCGCCATCCTCGGCATCATCCTCGTCGGCTTCTTCACTAGAATCCTTAGGCTCTGGAGGGAAAGGCACTTGAAGTTGATTGATGTCTTAGAGGTCGAAGTCCATTGGGATAGATAACTTGTTAAGCACTGCCGTCCAACCAGGTAATAACCTCGATTGCAAGCCAGGTTGACATGCTCTTTGTACTGGTCACAGACGGCGGCTTGCCCCATCTTCGTAAACCTTTTTATCGGCCACCTTGACCTCGGCCTCCTTGAGTCAAGGGCCTCTTGAAGCTTAGCCTCTAAATCAGCTGCCTTGGCCTTGGCAACCTCAAGATCGGCTCTGGCGGCCTCGGCTTCAGCATTGGCCATTTTGGCTTTTTCCTCAGCTAAATCCTGAACAGCTTTGGAAGCCTTGGCTTGATCCAGCAGAGCTCAATTGTTGGCTTTGGCATGATTGAGTGAGGAAAAGAGTTTGGAAGCTTTCTTAGTCTTCCTTGCCAACTCTTTCCTTATCATCTCAATCTTAACTGTGTACAAATGCGCATGCTGGATAACATGCAAAAAGTAACACACATCAGTGAAATTTGACTAAGTGTAGAAAGACTGTAAAAGAGTAAATAAAGAGGATTACCAAGACTGAGTGTTGCATCATGAGGCCAAAGTTTTCATACACATGAAGGTCGGCCATGTGATTTATATCCTCAGGTAAGAGCACAGCCGTTGACAGGGCACTGATCTTGACGTCATTAATTGCGCTGTCACCAGCTGTCAGGGGTCTGTCCCCCACCATGACCTAAGGAGCCCAGGTCATATTGCGAGGAAAGCTGTTACCCTCAGGTTGGTCAGACCTCAGCCTTTTGGATGGTTAGAAATCTAATGTATCGGCCTCGGTTGGCCTCTTGTTGGCAGAATGAGTGCTTTTTGGAGATTGGTATAGTGTCCTCAAAATCAATCTGAGTCACTGTAGCCTTGGCCTTAGACTTCTTGACCCTCTTTGGCTTAGGCTTGGATTGGGAAGGAGAAGGGGAGGACTGCACAGTCACTACCCCTGGGATGTTGACTAGAAGGTCCTCAACAACTGCTGGTTTGCAGCCCATTTCATTGGCAGTGGCAACAAGTGTAACTTTTGTGCCGAAATGAATGGCGGGAAGGGCGATTGGAGGATTGGTTGGATTGTAGACCGACGCCTCAGAATCTTGTCATTTACGGCTACGAGTTCGGTCTGCTAGTACGTTTGGTAAAGCACGACGTCAGCGTTGGCGCTGAGATGGTGGGATTAGTTGAGCTGGAGCAGAAGTGGAGGGTTGCTCTACTGGGTCTGATAAAGAAGCCTGATCTGGCCTTGGCGATGAAGCAACTGTGGGAGTTGTTGCTGATGGGGGAGTCTTGCTTCGGCACGGGATGTCGGGTAATGCAGACTTATAGGTCGGGATATAATTAAGCAGCAAAGGGGCTTTGCGCTTGTTAATATCCAAACCTAAAAGCCTTTTCAGATCGGGGCTGGGGAAGAAGGTCTGCCGAAAGTCCTTTGCTGGCTGGGGAAGAGCTGCAAAAATGAATAAGAGGATTACAAAAAATAGATATACATTGACAAATCCAAGCCGAAATATGGTTAAAAGGATAACTCGGCTCTTACCATCACCCTCTTTAAACACCGATCGACACAGAGGATAGAAATGAATGTCGTTGTGAGTGCAAATTTCCAATTGCCTAAGACGATGAAGTAATTATCTCCAGCACCCTTGTTAAAGTCTGGGAGATCGGCTATTAGTTTGTAGGCAGTGGACCTGGGCTTGAGGTAGTATATGTAGCCTTTTTCAGACTTAAGGCCACACATGGTATAACAGAATTAGATATCAGCTAAAGTGATCCTAGCTTTTTCTCGATGTGCTAGTTCAATTATGCCATTGATAACCCTATATGAGTTGATGACTAGCTGCATAGGGTTGAGCTTATGGTAGTGAAGGACCTCCCTAAAGAGAATGTCTAGGGAAAATCGAAGTC